CTTAGGAAAGGGTCGAATAGCTGCTCCATCTATATAAGGTCTGTTAAGAAATTTAAAAAAAAGTAACGTAACGTCAACAACCACAATTGTTCCTTGGAAAAAGCATCGCTCCAAAGGTTCAAACTACGAACGAAATTGATGGCAAACTCAAAACATTTAAATGCCTGGGGCGGGATTCATAAAGACTTAGATTTTTCTTAAATGTTGAAATCAAGAATTGAAAAAATTCTTAGCTAAGAAGACTGTTTAAGTTTTAATTCATAAAGATCCTAAGCACGATTCTTATTAAAGTGTTATTTTAGAAAAAAACAACATACTTAAGTCAAAGCTTTATGACAGCACTAGCATTTTGCCGAACAACAATTTCTGAAATCAATAATGAATATTTTTTTACGACGAAAATTATAAATTACAGTGGTATAACAATTTTATAACTGTAATTTTCTTTCATCCTACCAAAGTATTGCATATGTCGATATATAGTACACGCATCGTTATTCTTTACATTTCTATCGTGATCTGTCGTGCGTGTATTCTATCGTATTGTTCGTGTATCCTGTCGTATCGTTTTTCCGTTTATCAAGTTTTGCTTTTTCTATCATGTTTGCATTTATCGTTATAATTTTTTATCAGGTTCTATCGAGTATCGTGTTTGGCGTTTATCGTGTGCCTTTGGAACTCATTGCTTATAATCCTTACATATAAATGAATCACCCTAGGTATCCCGAGTCAATCAAATTTGATCAAAGTGGCGCGGGCAGAGAGGATTACGATTTCCGATTTGCCGGCCGTAATTGTGAGGACGCACAGCAGGAAGATGTCGGTAGAAATCATACAGGATGGTGTATGAAGGCACCACCACCACCACGTGATCTTCAATAGAAAGGCCATCAACGGATTCCTTAGACGATGGAAATCTGGCAGTGGTCTGACCAGGAAACCCAGGATCGTGAAAGACGCAACCAAAGTAAAGACCCTACACCTGAAGTTCACGGACGCGTGGTTGTCGATAAACAATGAACTTACGACAACTATGCTCAAAATTAAATTTTTTGAAGTGTTTCCAGCAATCTTGTGAAAAATAACAGCTGATTTAGAATGGAACAGTCCTGTCCAAAACTTGTCAGCTCATCAGTAGCAAGAACAAACTGGCAGGTGTTTTGAACAAGATGATATATTTGAGATTAAGTATAACATTCCGTTGTCCGTATATAGATATGGTGTGCTCGGTTGTGACAAGGTAGCAAGTACTAATTTTTAACGTATTTTAAGCTAGGTCAAATAAACTGTTTTGAAGCATAATTTTAAATTAAACAAGAAAAATATACTTCAAGCGGTTTTTTCTATTGAAATATTAAAAAAAGTTGTCATGAATATGGAAATCTTCTCCATTTCATACCAAATAAATGCATCTAGATTGCCTACAATCTTTCAGCGCAGGTATGATAAGGCTTCCCAGAGAATATTGTAGTGTACTCTCTGCATGAACTTCTCTGAACTACAAATGTATGACGTCATAATTAAAAATGACGTCAAGTCACTGCATACTTGAACTGTCATGATGGGGAGAATGTCATAAACTTTACACCTTATTTCAATCTGCATATGCAGCAATATACCTTTTTCACCTGCATACGGAGTATTTATATCTCAGTTGATTCGATACGCAAGAGCATGCTCTACGTATGAACAATTTCTTAAACGAGGTAAATTATTGACAAGCAAGTTGATGAAACAAAAATATCAACAGTCTCGTTTAAAGTCATCATTTCGTAAATTCTATGGTCGATACATCTTCGCTAGCCAAGGGTTTCCGATCCGATACCTACTCTACAACCCTTGGCAGATTTGGCCGAAAATTTTAGAACTCGCGCAAACGAATTTGATTGGCTGCGAAGTCCGAGTCTTCGCAAGGTTTTTACTAATTGACGATTTTCTTCTGAATTAAAGTCTGTTCGTGTTTTATGCAAAATAAAAGTAATATTTACAAGGGATGAAAGTTAGTACGTAATATATGCTTAAAAAAAACAAGGAATTAATTTTATTTTTTTTTTTGCTTTTAATTATATATGTTTTCAAGAATTATTGAAAGGACCACCTAAGTCCGTGTTCCGCATTTTAGGTGCATCAATTTAAGCCAATCAAATGTCACGGCTCATTGATAATGATTTATACGGCAACAAGTAGAAAGTGGTATCAAACTCTTGACTAAAAATTCACGAAGAACGATATTTTCTACCACTTTTGAGGTGTGCCCTCTGCCCACAGCTGTATGAAGTTGTTTGGATATATTCCACATGGAGGTCGCCATATTGTTTCAAACGTCATATTGATCTACGTATGTTACAGCTATTTTCATTGGACAAATATAAAAGAGCTTCAAGGGACTTAACTCAATTACGGCGATAGGCGGCGCAATCAAAGTTCCCGTTTGATAGGACTAAATCTGCCAAGGGTTGTAGAGTAGGTATCGGATCGGAAACCCTTGGCTAGCGAAGATGTGGTCGATACAATGACCTTGTCAGCAAATACAATTTATCATTGAATGAAATGCTGACTGACGTTTTTCATACCAATTGTTAGTCCATTATTTATACACTGAATTGACCACGGATTTTTTCCGTTATATCCTGATCATGACAACGAGCACACGGAGGTTGTGACCGGTCGGCAGGGGATGCTCACTCCTCCATGGCACCTGATCCCACCTCTGATGTTTCGGAGGTCCGTGTTTGCTCTGCTCTTATTTTGTATATTTGTTTAATGGACGTTGAGATTGATTACTGTTCGTTATTTCCTGCATTTTCTGTTGAAATAATTTCCATTAAAACATCTCATGGTTGATTTGGTTGGAATTAACCGGATAATTTGTTTGGGGTATTTAAATCTGCCAACTTAATTTTAAATACTGTAATTACAAAAATGCATAATAAAACTGTTTTGTCATTTAAAATGATATCCGAGACAATCTGCATCACTTCAGTCTTGATACCCTAATATAAAAACAAATTAATTTCCAAAGTACATGCTAATGTTACAGATACTAGCATATTTTCGTTGATGCACTATACCGTTCACAAGCTAATGTTACAGATACTAGCATACATTTTGTAGCTCCCCTATACCAGTTGACAAGCTAAAGTTACAGATACTAGCATACATTTTATAGCTCCACTATACCAGTTGACAAGCTAATGTTACAGACACTAGCATACATTATGTAGCTCCACTATACCAGTTGACAAGCTAATGTTAAAGATACTAGCATACATTATGTAGCTCCACTATACCAGTTGACAAGCTAATGTTACAGATACTAGCATACATACAAGCTCCACTATACCCGTTCACAAGCTAATGTTACAGATACTAGCACTGCACGAAAAGTCACCTTTTATAATATTTAATAGTTTACAAAATGTTTACAAAAGATGAATCTTTATCTTTCATCACCTTTTTCACATCAAAAGGTTGACTTTCACCTTTAAATTTTGGTAAGGTGAACAAAATTTCATCTTTTTTCATCTTCTGTAATATTAAAAGTTGATCATTCACCTTTTGCTCTGAAAAGTTGATTATATATCATCTTTCCATCTTTTACAATTGTTAAAGTTAATCTTTTTTAATCTTTAAAATAATAAAAGTTCACCATTCACCTTTTTTCACTGAAAAGGTAAATGTACATCTTTTCTTTTTTAAAAAAATTAATTACTTTCCATATCAAAGTATCATAAATAAACTTTTTTAATTGAATAAAAAAAAAATTGTTTTACTTTTTTGTCAAATGACAAATTTATAGATAAAATCAAGGTAAACTGCAAGATATTTACATCGTGTAATCATTAAAACATAGAAAGCTTAATGGACACAAAAGCACTTTAAACTTTACAACTCGCTTTTGCTTAAATCGTGTTAAATATATGTAACACATATTTCTCTTTTAGACATAATGAATCTTAGCATTAAAAAATATGCAAACAAGACAAAAATTTCTGCTGGTATAATTTTAAAAGATTGTGACGACAAAAGCTCTTCATCTGCATTCCAAGGTGTTACCGGGTATACCATTTTCTGTAAGACAAAATTGAAATAAGAATTAATTACTCATAGTGACTTGAAACAAAATATTTTTATATAACCATGACAAATTAAGAATATTTCAGTCAATATATTTTAATACTGAGTTAGGATTCTACTTCAAGTTCATAAATGGATATGATATAATAAAGGTAAATTAAAGAAACTCTGACAGCATGTTTAGTTAAATACTGTTATTCACCTCTCCAAAACTTCCTAGCTAGAGGATTATTTGAACTGAAAACACCTCTTCACAGCAAACTGGTGAGAGGATGTTGATTAACAAAGTAGTCATTAAAGAGTTTTCACATTATAAAAAGTAATTTTTTAACAAATACATTGTAATTTTTTTTTGGTCACCTCTCCATATCTGCCCGGCTAGAGGATCATTTCAACTGAAAACACCTCTCCATGGCAAATTGGCATGAGGATTCCATCACTGCATGTAAATCCCTACATTTAAGACATTTTTATTTATATATCATAGATACTTTAAGTAAATGTAGTTTAACAAAAAAATCTGTGTCTTGGTCACCTCTCCATATCTGCCCGGCTAGAGGATCATTTCAACTGAAAACACCTCTCCATGGCAAACTGGCACGAGGATTCCATCACTGCATGTAAACCTTATATTTAAGACATTATTGTAATACATCATAGATAAGTCCTTTTAATTTGAAAATATTGTTTATATATATATATGTATATACCATTCACTCTTTTTTTAGCATGGTGTTTTCCTTGAAGCGGACATAGAGAGGATTGGATGTGAATGTTATTAAGTTTTTGTTTTTTTAAGTACCCCTTGCAGTAGAAGTGGTTTCTGATGGTTTTGGTGATCATGGTTCAGTTGATGAAGAATGTAATGTAGTGTTGTGAGACATGATGATGCAGTGCAAAGACATGAGATTTTTTGTACTTGCTTTTCTCAACTGTTTTCTTTTTTCTCTGTCTTCATCACGTTTCCTATGGCAGTATTCCTTGCTTCAATTCCGTGTTTGCCCAAATTAACCTATAAAAATGATTTTTTATGTTTATGTGCTTCACAAAAATATAAACATGCTGATATAATACAATCTATTCTAATTGCAATGTATGTGTACAGCTAAAATTAACAAAGTCTATGACTCACTTCTGTCACTGAATACATTTTTTTAGCATTTATAGGTGTAGAAGGAAAACATATATAATTTATTACTGGATCATCAATTTAGACCCCTGTATAACTTGTCAAATACTCCATTTACTGAGCTAGCCTACCCCCAAGACCTACAGCCACTGTGAGTCCTGATATTCCAACAAATAGACATACAATAACAGAAATATGCAATGACCCTATAATAAATCATATACATCTTTTTGTTATTCCCTTGCTAAGGACTTTTTCTGGCTTTTCTGCTGCCTTGAAGCTTCAAAATGGATGCACGCATACATGCATTGCATGTACAAAAGCGATACAAAATCAATCAGATTATTTATATTTTGATCCAGGTTAAAATTGTTTTAGATTTTAAATTTAAGTCTAGAAAAATAACTTTTTAAAAAAATTACACTAAGCTTTCATGCTTAATCAAAATCTTAGATTACCTTTGTTCCCTGACCAAAATTTCCCCCTTGCAAAGCACATGGGATGGGTGATGTCATACCTTGGGATGGGGTTTCAGGAGTTCCTGCAAGAAGCATAGATGCCTAATTAAATTTCCGGTTTATTTTGCCGCGCGGGATTTCAAATCGTTTGAATGTTTTGTCATGGACAAGATATAATCAACATCAGTATGATTCAATGTTTCGATTCCGATAGCATTGAATTTATGATGATGGATCTAAAAGTGAAAACAAACAATCTGAAAAGCCCTCTACCTCAAAACAGGGACAGGAGTACGTATCCAAACCAAAAAGGCGCCGGTTTTCATATCCGCCACCCATCTTGGAATCTTCGGAGGAGGAAAATGGTGCACGAGAGGTCAGGTAATTTGGACTGTTGAACGTCTTCACATTATAAATGTTTTATTTTTCTAAAATATACAGCTGTAGAACATTTACTTCGCTCACAAATATATGATTCACTGGGCCTAGAAACGTCTGTATTTTGTTTTTACAATGAACCATGACGCAATGATGTATCGAAGTTGTGCAGGCTGATACACTGTGATAGAGGATTCTCGAGTTGAATGTTAGCTGAATAGTTTCGAAATCGTATATGTTCAAAACAAATGATCAGAGGGAATCATCTCTAACTTATTAGCTAATAATTAAAATGGTCTTCGAACTGTTTCACCTTTTTCTAAAATAACTTCACCTTTTGTTTTCCAAAATGCGAAAAGTCCGAAAACAATGTGGAATGCAGAACTTTCGGAACATGCAGTGCGATGAGTTCCGAATATTTCTGATTTAATCTACTTTCGTTTTTAGGACGCTGTAGCTACGGTAACACCATGAAGTGCATCAACGCCAGGTTTCTCAACACCATTAGGGGAAAAAAGGAAAACACAGTCAACACTGAAAAAACGACACACGTGTGCGTGGAGAGAGTAAATGCAAGTAGATCAATGTGATCCGACATTCCTTTAACCCCCACTCTGTGGCACTCATTTATTTATAACGTATGGAGTGCGCACATAAGTTACAATCATTCAAGGGGCAGAAAAAATTCTGCATTAGAAGAAATTTTCAGAAAATATACAGAATTTATTTAAATTTTATGTCAAACGCTATTTTACATGTTTTATCTGATATTTCTATATTTTTATGTCACTTTGATACTATAATAGGAATTCATAATATATAACTGTATGTATGATATTATAATTAAAAACAGGAAATACTTCCAGAAAAAAAATAAATATTGGTTTTATCCAGCAATATATATTTATATAGTCAATACAAATGAAAAGTTAAACTTTTACTTATATTTTAATTATTATTTTAATTATTCCTTATAAATAGACATAAATGCCTAGCTAAATGACAGTAACATTTTTCCTATATAAAAAAAATCAACACCAGATCTGTATTAATAGGGATATATGGTTTTTTTTTACATAGGAAAAATAAGCAATGTCAGGGACTGTGTAAATAGTTGATATTTTTTATCACTATAAAGTACTGACATAAGGTTTTTTGACATTCTTTCACAATATATCACAGTACAACTCATTAAGTTAAATTCAGATTTTAATATGAAGTTAAAAGTGTAATATGTCATCATCCAAAATTGGTTGACAAAATGTTTTGAATTATTCATTTTAGCATTAAGAAGTGTTCTTGACACACTTATCTCAAGCAACAAAATGAAATCCCGGAGAGGATCAAAGTCCTGGAGAATATAAAGAGCACGAAGGAGAGGTTTCCAGGGAGGAAAAAAATCATGTGCCCCCAAGTGAACGGGTAGAGGATAATTCAATGTAAGTTTAAATGGAAGAACAATTTACATGTGTGTTTTGCTAACATATGTATGTAGCTGTGTTTTTAATTATATTTACATGACTTATTTTTTTTTTACATGTATTAAGGAATAATTATTTTCTCAAGGTGGTCTACAAAGATATTTCCTGTCCAAAAAACAGAAGATGTTTTATCAAAGAAGAACAAGCTGCAAGATCAGAAGCAGAAGAGAGTCCTGTATGAGAGGAAGAAGGAGGTTATAATACCATTTAAACATGATTCTTTAAAAAAAAAATGATTTATTCAGCACATATTCTTTTTTCTTAAATGACAATAATCATTCAAAATTACTTCTAACTGCAGATAAGTGTATTGTGTTTACATGTGTATACATATGTATTGTCTCTGAATTAGTACTGCATATGTAACATAATTTAATTCATATATACATGGCGGTACTCAAGATTGCTGTTAACGTTCTCTTGCTAGCTTTTAATTCATATTTATTATCTTTCTCAGAAAGCAAAGCCCAGGACTCGGGCTCTAGAACATCTGAAAAACAAGGGTTGGCAAACCGAGCAGAGCAAATATTTTAAATATTGAAGGTGGAATACACGTCCAGTGACGAGGAGTGTGAGGAGGGGTTTGTTACTCATCCCCCATCTTGGCAGAGTGACACCTTTGCCAAGGTCAAGAGTACCTTGGACAATGTATATCTTGAGACCTGCTCCGTGAAGAGCAAACGTTGGAAGTAGTCACGTAAAGGAGCCCCCTACTATTCCAGAGGAATGTTTGTGGATGCTAAAAAAAGATTAAATTAGAAAATAAGAAAATTTAAAAATAAGAAAAGCATATCATTCTGTTTATTTCTGTTGGCATTTTTGAATGAAAAATCCATCTTAATACATGACTACATCTACTACTCTTTTACATTATTCTGCTGTTAAAGAAACCTTACATGTATGTATACACATCATTTATTTTCTAAATGTACATTTTTAAACTGAAAATTTACTATAATGTAAAAGAATTTTCTTTCTTCTTTTTTTTATTTTTTCCCAATTTAAATAATTTTTCACAAAATCTTGATCCATTTGTTAATTTGGTTAAATTAACAAGATCTTTATTTATTTGTTTAATTACAGATGATTATATGTAAATAATTATACAGTAAAACTTGGTTATAACAAAGTCAATAGGACAACAGTAGCTGTAAATTTATTTCGCTATATGCATAATTTGTTGTATCCGTATAAGGAATTCCTAAAATTTATACAGTTGGGGATTTAAGAAACCTTTGATATATCCATGAATTTGCAATGTCCGTTTAGTTCAAAACAAGTGTTATTATATATATTTTTAAAATAATATCATTATTATTGTAACACTAGTACTGACAGTATGAAACAAACGTTGAAGTTTATGAAGACAATTAATACAACTGAATGAATTTTATAGGGAGAAATCACCTTTTTATACATGCAGTCTGGATTATTGAAATTTGCTTGATTTTTAGGCAGTATATGTAACCCAATAATATGCCTTCTATAACAGCATCATTAATTTATAAATCTGATTAGGACAAAGGCATCAGCGTACTAAATTTTAGTTATGATATTCCATCAAAGTCCCACACTTGATAGTTCAATGCTTTATTTAATTTTTTTTTATTATTATTTTGTTTCTCTGTTTTCTCTGTTTATTGGTATGAAAATTTAAAATGAGATTATTTAATATATGACACTTAAATTTATGTGTGTCCTTAATCAAGCTGATGGATCACAGTACTTTTCTTTATACCATTAAACTGATGAAAAATGTTGCCCGAATGTTTTGTTTTATTTTTACATGGGAAAAGATATTTAAAAGCTGTTTTATTTTTACATGGGAAAAGATATTTAAAAGCTTTGAACACCATGTTAAAGTGGAGCTTTAGGGGTTAAACAGGTTTTGTTGACATAAAATAGCTGCATAAAAGTTGAAATTTTGTTAAATCAAAAGATCTGCAAAAGTTGCAAAAGTTGAGCTTTTAGTTTGAAAAGGTTTATAAAAGTAGATCTATCAAAATCTGAAAGATGTAAAAAAGAAGATATTTTTAATAAAAAAGTTACAGAAAAGATCAAATTTTGTAATATGAAAAGGTGAAAAAAGACAACATTTTTCTCAAAAAGATGGATAAAATATTGTATTTTAATGCAAAAAAGGTGTATAAAAGTGGGCCATTTGGATATCTTTTTTGTATCCAAAAGCTGATCAAAATTTGATCTTTTGTACCTTTCATAGAAAAATTAAAGGAGCATGAAAGGTGTCAAAAGGTGAATGAAATGTGGCCTTTTGTTTACCTTTTGGATATACAAAAGGTGTTTTTTCGTGCAGTGTAGCATACATACAAGCTGCACTATACCCGTTGACAAGCTAATGTTACAGATACTAGCTTAAATTATGTACCTCCACTATACCAGTTGACAAGCTAATGTTACAGATACTAGCATACATACAAGCTGCACTATACCCGTTGACAAGCTAATGTTACAGATACTAGCATACATACAAGCTGCACTGTACCAGTTGACAAGCTAATGTTACAGATACTAGCATACATACAAGCTGCACTATACCAGTTGACAAGCTAATGTTACAGACACTAGCATACATTATGTATCTCCACTATACCAGTTGACAAGCTAATGTTAAAGATACTAGCATACATTTTGTAGCTCCACTATACCAGTTGACAAGCTAATGTTACAGATACTAGCATACATTATGTAGCTCCACTATACCAGTTGACAAGCTAATGTTACAGATACTAGCATACGTTATGTAGCTCCACTATACCTGTTGACAAGCTAATGTTACAGATACTAGCATACATTTTGTAGCTCCACTATACCAGTTGACAAGCTAATGTAACAGATACTAGCATACATTTTGTAGCTGTACTATACCCGTTGACAAGCTAATGTTACAGATACTAGCATACATTCTGTAGCTCCACCATACCAGTTGACAAGCTAATGTTACAGATACTAGCATACATTTTGAAGCTCCACTATACCAGTTGACAAGCTAATGTTACAGATACTAGCATACATACAAGCTGCACTATACCAGTTGACAAGCTAATGTTACAGATACTAGCTTACATTATGTAGCTCCACTATACCAGTTGACAAGCTAATGTTACAGATACTAGCATACATACAAGCTGCACTATACCAGTTGACAAGCTAATGTTACAGATACTAGCTTAAATTATGTACCTCCACTATACCAGTTGACAAGCTAATGTTACAGATACTAGCTTACATTATGTACCTCCACTATACCAGTTGACAAGCTAATGTTACAGATACTAGCATACATACAAGCTGCACTATACCAGTTGACAAGCTAATGTTACAGATACTAGCTTAAATTATGTACCTCCACTATACCAGTTGACAAGCTAATGTTACAGATACTAGCGTACATACAAGCTGCACTATACCAGTTGACAAGCTAATGTTAAAGATACTAGCTTAAATTATGTACCTCCACTATACCAGTTGACAAGCTAATGTTACAGATACTAGCATACATACAAGCTGCACTATCCCTGTTGACAAGCTAATGTTACAGATACTAGCTTACATTTTATAGCTCCACTATACCAGTTGACAAGCTAATGTTACAGATACTAGCTTACATTATGTAGCTCCACTATACCAGTTGACAAGCTAATGTTACAGATACTAGCATACATACAAGCTGCACTATACCAGTTGACAAGCTAATGTTACAGATGCTAGCTTACATTTTGTAACTCCACTATACCAGTTGACAAGCTAATGTTACAGATACTAGCATACATACAAGCTGCACTATAACCCGTTGACAAGCTTATGTTACAGATTCTAGCATACATTTTACAGCTCCACTATACCAGTTGACAAGCTAATGTTACAGAAACTAGCATACATTTTGTTGCTGCACTATATCGTTCACAAGCTAAAGTTACAGATACTAGCATACATACAAGATCCACTATACCAGTTGACAAGCTAATGTTACAGATACTAGCATACATACAAGCTGCACTATACCCATTGACAAGCTAATGTTACAGATGCTAGCTTACATTTTGTAGTTCCACTATACCAGTTGACAAGCTAATGAAACAGATACTAGCATACATACAATCTGCACTATACCACTTGACAAGCTAATGTTAGAGATACTAGCATACACACAAGCTGCACTATACCAGTTGACAAGGTAATGTTACAGATGCAGCAATATACCTTCATCACCTGCATACGGAGTTTTTATATCTCAGTTGATTCGATACGCAAGAGCATGCTCTACGTATGAACATTTTCGTAAACGAGGTAAATTATTGACAAGCAAGTTGATGAAACAAGAATATCAACAGTCTCGTTTAAAGTCATCATTTCGTAAATTCTATGGTCGATACAATGACCTTGTCAGCAAATACAATTTATCATTGAATGAAATGCTGACTGACGTTTTTCATACCAATTGTTAGTCCATTATTTATACACTGAATTGACCATGGATTTTTTTTCCCGTTATTTCCTGATTATGACAAAGAGCACACGCCGGCTGTGACCGGTCGGCAGGGGATGCTTACTCCTCCATGGCACCTGATCCCACCTCTGATATTTTGGAGGTCCGTGTTTGCTCTGCTCTTATTTTGTATATTTGTTTAATGGACGTTGAAATTGAATACTGTTCGTTATTTCCATATCCAACATAAAAGTACATTTAAGATTCACACAATGTGTTCAATTTATTGATTATGAAAACGACGTTGTAAATTATGTACGAGTTTTTGCAAAACATATGAAATGAAACTGGAAATTTGAATGAATAGTACCGACACTTACAAGAATATAGGTTTTTTTTAATATTTGTTTTTAACTCCATATATTGTCAAATTTTATTCAGTGCAATTATTTTGTTTTTCTTCAACTTTAAGAGCACGTCTTCCATAGAAATAAATGTGCTTCTGCTTTATCTTTTATTTTGTGTATGATCTTTTAATTGGATGTTTTCTTTTCAGTGTTAGTGGAAATGCCATGTAGAAAAATATTCTATTAGATTTTTTTTTCAAGAGAGGGAAATATATTTGCTAAGAGTGATTCATATTCAAAATTACACAATGCGTTTGTTTCATCCTTTCGAGAATTTTTAAATAAAGATTTTACCATTTTCCGGTGAACAGCTCAAAATACTGACCTTTAATCCTGGCTCTTAGTGTCATTAAGCAGTGACGGATTTTGATCGTCTTACTGTGAGTAAATGCCCAAGTTATTAAATTGAATTGCTCATCAGAAGACCAACAGCGCAACAACCCCAATTTTCACCGGGAAGATACAATTGTTACCTATTTTTATTGAAAAAGGTCACAAATTCTGATCATGGAGCCAGCTCTTTACCGATTGATCCATTTATGATCACCACAGCATGAAAAAAAATCATGTATCGCAATTTACTTTGCTCTGTTCTTTTCATATTTTTTTTTAAATTCAAAATTATAATATCAGACTACAATAATTCTTTCAAGAAAATGACGAGTACAGGTTTTAACAATGGAACGTTGCTGACTTTAAGCAGCAATTTTCTTTCATATATATTCACTTGGATCTACCTAGTTGAAGTACGATTGATTTGTTGTTGTTTATTGGTTACATGTTTTTTGTTAATATCTAAAGACCCAGTTCTTGAGTATAGAAAGTGCTTTTCTTCGATTTTCTGTAAAGGAAATTGTAAAAACATAATTATTTTTCATCATTGAAGTTTAAAGTAACAAGATAGTGATTGATCTAAAACAAAATGGCATATACGAACAAACATGCGAAGAGGGCATAGACACGGATCTCTGAAAATTTGTACATTAATACAGACACTCTCCAGCAATTGGCGTCATTTGTTAGTATCGGATCTACGACACGCTTACAATGGCTCAGGGAAATATCCCCAACTTTTCTTTGATGAACCAAGAAGACCTGCAACATTACTATGTAAACAGTGTAGTTGAGGTACTGGCCGTGTGGATAGTGAGGGATATTACCGCGAGATGGCCCATTGCAACACTGGGCCTGGGCAGTGATTTAAGAAGGCAACATAGGGGAAGACGGAGAAGACAGCGTAGAACATCCGCTTCGTTATGTTTTTTCAACGAGGGGAGGGTAGTTGCATCACCTGGGTTCGATACACAGACTCGACACCTTCTTTGAGCTTATGTTTAGTAACATTGTTTTTCTCCCCTGCTTTTATAACAGATTC